CGGGAGCTCCCCCCACACGAGGCCGGGCGCCCCTCGTCAGGCCGAGGGGAGAGAGCTGCTCCGGGGACGCAGCTCTTGTGTTGAGTTTCACTGTTTACAGAAAAGGAAATGCTAATCTCGGGAGGCTTTGAGATTTACTGCTAAAGAGGATCATAATAAAAGGAGGCCACCCTCCTCCCACCTGTCACTGCGTGTTTGCTCGAGGACCTCTTCTGAAGTTGCTCGTGTCCTCCAGCACGGCTCTGCGACAGCAGCGGAGTGGCACCTTACGCTGTAGCAACAAGGCAAAGGAGGGCCTTGTCCTGCAGAACTTTACTATAGATTCATAACTTTAAAAAAGTGATGCAGTGAAGGAAACTTTATTCCCCGTTGTTGTCACTACATGCAACTCAGGGCAGTGAGGCCGGGTGCGTGAGGAGCCAGGGCGACGGATCGGAGGCCAACGGCACAACCGACCCCTCTGCTTCCTTCCCCCCAGGACCTGTCTGCACTGGGCCTGCAAGCGGAACCATGCGCAGGTGGTCTCCTGCCTGCTGGATGCTGGTGCAGATAAGCAGATCCTCACGGCTAAAGGAGAGCTGGCTGCAGAGTTAACTTCCAAACCAGACATCCGGAAGATTTTGGGAGGTACTGTTCCCATCTTCAAAGTAATTTAGAACTCTAGACTTAAGGATTTTTATTGCTCTTATCTGAGGCAGTAGATTGGCAAAGCTTTGACCAGGACTTGTTATCTCATAAAATAGCTCCGATTTACAACTGTAGTTAGTACTCGGGCAAATAGACTTGGGGATTTCAGGTAGGAAGGCCTGATATTCTGAGCTGTGTCATCAAGAGATCGAAGGGCTGTATACTTTGGGAGATGTGCTGCTGCAGTCCTGTTTGCTCTCATTAAGCAGTAGCTAGCATGCAGGCTGCAGATGGAGGATTTCACAATTGTACAGTTTGACTGTTGTCTGACCATAAATCTTAGAAATCCATTCAGAACAACTGCAGCATTTCAGAAGTTACAGCTTCTGAGCATTTTGTTATAGTGTGATTTGCAGTATGATTAATTTTGGCCCCATAATTCTGTCATCTTATGTGTTTGTATGCACGGCAAACCTAGTTAGTTGTATGAACTCTACCAGTGCCCATTTCCATCAGCATCTAGGTACTGTGCTCCAGATTAAAATTTTAAAGTGCTTCCCCTTTGGAAACGTTGATGTTCTATCTTCTGCTAATTGCGCTTAAATTGCTCTCTGCAATGATATGCTCTTACATCAACAGTGCACCGTTATCATAAATGAAGTTGCAGCTATATCATGTCTAAGGTTACAACAGTCATGACGGAAGGAATGGCATGTTCTTGCATGAGGATTTTTGTTTTCTTTTGGGCAAGGTGCTCATCTCTTGGTTCATGGCAAATGACTTGTGTTCTGTTTTTAACATGTAAACCGTCAAGTGTGCGTGAATGAACTCTGTTCATGGTTGCCTTATTTTTCTGTCTGTTAAGCTTTCATGTGTTTCCTGGGAAACAAACACGTATCATTTACATTCTCCTAAATAGTTTTTACTCTGGGGGTGTAGTGCTATTGAGCAGATCTTTCTGAACTGCTTTGACATCAGTGTTAGTGTCCTGGAAGCCTCAGTCAGGCAAGAATGTCTTTTACTGCAGCACTTCTAAGCAAGAGAAGAGTTGGCTTGGGTATTGTATCAAATAGGCACTTACCTGAAGAAATACTCGGTTTCATTTGTTGGCGTGAGTCATAATAAACTATTTACAGCAGTGTTATTAAAAGCATTGCAAAATGAGATTTAGCGAAGAATTACTGGTCAGTCAGTTCATTTGAAAATGCAGGAACACCACTGCTAGAAACGACCTATCTTTCACTGGTATTTTTTTCCCACTTTGCTTTTAAAAAACACAATACATTGTAGGAATGTGTAATTATTTTTTTTTTCATTTTACAGCTACTTGCTTTCCAGGTGTTAGATGCTTATGATACATCAGTATCATCCTATGATTACCTCAGAATGTGATGTAGCTTTAAGACACAACAGGAAAACCTGGCTATATTCAAAATCAGAAAGCTCTGTCTAGTAACATGGTGGTTTTTTTCTCTCTCCATCCCCTACCCCGCATTTTTGAACTTCATTAGCAGAGGAAGAAACTGAATGTCAAGGAGCGAAGGATTTAAATTTGCCAATTGTTGCAAACTACTTGGCCAACCCACCATTCCCTCACGTTTACACTGAAGAAAGCATTCCAGACAGCTTGGCGGAATCCCAGAATGAAAGCGCTTCCATCTCTTCTGCTTCCCAGTGTGAAACTAGTCCTTGCTTATCAGCAGCTCAGGTTGAAAGCACATGCACACCTACATCATGCGACAGCGCAGACGATTTCCCCGCACTAGAGGCTGCCGAAGAGCCACCCGCGCCAGCAGCAGCCATCGCAGCGGCACCGGACTGCGCCCTGCCTGGCGTCCCCAACGGCCCCGTGTGCCGGCCGGTGCTGCCTCGCAGCACGGGGCTCTTCTCTCCAGCACCATCCAAACAGGCTGGACCTCTGCAAACCCACGCTTCACCCACTGGTCCCGCACCAACTTTTCAGCCTGTTTTCTTTACCGGAACTTTCCCATATAACATGCAAGGTAATGAAGTGTAATTTCCCATCCTTCCATTATATTCTGTTCCATGGTTTTGTTACTGGGTGAAAGAGGAGGTTAAAGAATCATTCCACTTTCAGACTTGTGTGCAGTAGAGGTAGAGACGTTGGATTCTTTGGCCAAATGTACTCCAAATATTTTTTTTCTGCTCTGCTAAGTAAAATCACTGTTATAGTGTATTTTAAACAGGGTAATACTTTGTAAACCGATGGAAAGATCAGTCCAAGCATCAGAAAAAAGTGAAATTCCACACTATTGTATATAGCATCAAATGCATCTGGGGTAGTTTGGTAACAACATGACTTTGTGACTGGGTGGGTCAGATTTTTAACATTGTAAACATGGTGCTCCTGTGTATTTCTTGCTGTTCAAATGGAAACTTCTATTAACTCCACAGTATTTCTCAGTGAGATAATAGGTATTGTATTGTAAAACCTGAATTCAAAAGATAATGGTAAATACTTTAGTGTTAGGTTTGGGTTGGTTTTGGCTTTTTTGGAAGTTAAAAAAACCCTTTTAATCTTTTTTTCAATCAGAACTTGTGCTTAAAGTGAGAGTGCAGAACCTCAGAGACAATGACTTCATTGAAATTGAACTGGACAGACAAGAACTGACCTATCAAGATCTGCTCAGAGTGAGTTGCTATGAATTGGGCGTTAATCCGGAACAAGTAGAGAAGATCAGAAAATTACCTAATACACTGGTAAGAAAGGTAAGAATTGAAATCTGAGATTAATTTGACTTTGCAGACATCAAAGAAGGTATTCCTGTAAAACAATCAGCAAAACATGGATTGCCTTGTGTTAAAAAACAAACTGTGAGCAATAACTGCTCACAAAGTCAAACACATATTGGACTTCCCTTAAAACTCCATCATAACTTACTGAAAAATATTCTTGTCAAAACAGGCAGAGTATTTCAGCTCCTGAAGCACATGAATCTATTACAGCTTGACTTTTTTTAAATGTATCAGAAACAGTGCATTAGTGTGCTTTTAACATAATTACCATGTGCTGCTTCACTGTTTGCTTGCTTAAAAAGAACAAATAGTAAGGGGAAAAAAACCCTACAAATTGGCATGTGAATAATTTAAAGATACGCCATTAACAAATGAACATGCTCTTCTGTTCCAAAAATACCTATTCTGGAGGGCTGCAAATGAAACACATTTGGTCACAGCTCTAAGTTAAACACAAACACAGTCAAATCTTAATGAGGTTTAAGGAGAAAAAAATGTACGGTTCAAGGAGAGAAAAAACCCCAAACCTGCTTTGAAAGAATGCGTGTTTACTGGTAGGATTTTTTTTCTTTCATTATTTATTCCTATCATTGGGTGTGACCTCCCTGGAATTTTAGTTTTAACTCCCTTTATCTATTATTATAAATAATAACAACCAGGTATGCTTAGAAGTAATGCATAGTTGTGTCTGTTCTTTAAAAGGACAAGGATGTTGCCAGACTTCAGGACTTCCAAGAGCTGGAGTTGGTTCTAGTGAAAAGCGACAGCTCTCCTTTCAGAAACGCCGCATCACCTTTGACTGAGAGACCATGCTACAACAGCAGAGCATCAAAACTGACTTACTGACTTTTCTAGTGCATCTAGAGTATGGAAACCTGGTAATTATATGCTGCTGCCTTTTGAAGGCAGTGAATTAAGCGTGTATAAAACCTTAAGTTATTGTTAGGGTTACAATTTTAACTAATAGTTTATCTTTTATATTTAATATCCCCTTTGCTTTTATTTTTTTACTTGATACTGTATTCAGATAAGGGATACCTCATTTGTCTACTAAAATCACATGCTTCCAGTATATTTTAATGAAGTTTATTGGTTGTATTTGGCAACAGAGGGCAGGAAAGACTTAATTACTGATAGAAGTATGTTGAGTGCTCCCACTCTTTGACAAAGTAAAAGTCATGGAAAAGACATTCAGGAAATTGTGTGTGTGTGTATATATATTTATTTTTTTAAACTTCCTGATTAAGTTAAATGTCAAAGTGTATTTGGCATAAAATGAACAGTTGCTCTCTAAAAATGTAAAGCTTGCAAGTCCTTAATCTCCTGCCCTTTCACAAATACGTACCAAGATGTGTTGTCTTTCCTGCTGGGGATAGAAATACTTAATGCTCTGAAGTGACAGGAGAAAAATTTTCACTGGGTTGAAAATAAGTGGAGTTAAGTGTCCACATTTAAATGTTTCTTTCTTTCCCATGCGAGAATACTAGAAGTTAAGGGATGGCACTCCTCCACCTCCACAAAAAAATTATGGAAGCTTCTCTTAATTAAGGAGCATTTACATCACAAAGCAAATTAAAGTGCCCTTTCAAAAGAAAGTCCTTATGTTTCAGGAGCTAGGGAGGGGATCACAAATCTGTGTCCACAGTTTTATTAATTTATTTTCCCAACGATGTGAGGAAACTATGCATTACTCACACCAGAGGTAAGTACTGCTATGTCAGGTAGCCTCTTTATGGCCCACCCTCATAGAACAGTTACAGGGCCTGTGGTTGATTTAATTTCTTCTGTGTAAGAAGCACGAGAAGCACAATGGTATACTCTTGAGGTATCACAACTGTAAGGAACAGACCATGCTCTTGATTAGCCATACTAAACTGAAAACGTACACCACTAGCAAATAAATAACATGTAACCTTACGTGTTGCACAGTCTATGATCACTTTTACTTAGTGTCCAAAGTTTTAGCCAGACAAGTACCGAAAGGGCTGAATGCCTCCAGGTACTTTCAACTGATTTTTTTGTGGGGGGAAAAAACCCAGACTGATTTCACTACAGACTGCTTAACTTGCATTTAAGCAAGTCAGTAATGAAAACATCTATCTGGGTTTTTATGAACGGCAAAATTCATCATTAAAACACACCCTGAAGTCACTCCCTTTTGGTCTGAACAAAGTATTTAAGTTGCAGCATTGCCGGAGTATTAACAGCCTGAAGCTTTTCCTGTTAACATGGTAGTATGCAAAGTTACACCTTAGGAGGCTTTTTGTTCTCTTTTGTACCAAAAACGACGATGATGACCTTTGCACCAAAAACCTTAATTGGGTACTGGGGTGGGTGAGGGAGTTGTTTTTTTCTGGACGTGAACTGCTTTCCGCCCGCCCCAATAGTATTGATTTTCCTTTCATCTCTGCTTTATTAAGCTGCGTTAGAGCAGAGTTTATGCACAGCTAAAGCAACATTTGTTGTTGATCTGAATTGTAGTGTTGACATTCAGACCATAAATAGTACAATCAAGATGCTTTGGTAGGAGCAGCATGGCTGCCACCCTGCCTTGGCTTCCTGCAGCCCAGCTGCTTTATCCCCGACATGGCTCCTCCATTGCGGTTAGTAAAGGCGTACATGCCAGAGGGATACAGAAACCCCTTCTGCAAGCAGAAGAGATGCTTGACTCTGGGATCGTGATTTCACCAAGTTACTCAAGGCTTAAAATTCTTGCTTAGTGCATTCAAAGTAATTATCCTCCTTTGGCACATGCTCTCTATCCCTCTTACCACCCAAACTCTGCTGACTCCCCCTTCTTGACCCTGGCCCTCTCTCTCCAGGAGCTGGGCTGCTTTAAAGGCCAATTTAACTCCTGGTAAGCTCAAGACTGTGACACAGTATGAAGTAAAAACTTTCTAACTATGGCTCCCGCTTTGTTTTTCTTGTAGCCCAGGAAAGGAGCTTTTATTTTAACAAATGTATGTTTATCTTTTCAGCATAGCTTGGACGCTAGTTCAGATTATGTGCAATAACTGTTTGAAAAACAGTAGTAGTTAAATGGCTCAAAATTAAGAATACCTAATTTCTTTTCAGTTCCTCTGTTTAGGAAATCAGTGTAAAGACTGCCTCCACTAATTACTGAACATTCAGCTATAGGAGCAGCTGGTTTAAAAAAAGCTTTATTTGCTCTAGTTTCCACAAAGTCATAAGACTAAAACTTTAATCATGATCTGACTGTAATAATAACAGTAAGTCTATGCATTCAGAGAAATATTTTTGTATGTTTTATGCAGTTTGATAAATTCTAAGGCACAGTAGTTATGTTAACTGGGTTTGTTGTGTTTGGTTTTTTTTCCCTTTGAACAATAAACTGTTGGTATGACAATTTAAACCAAGTTTACAAAACTTACTGTTCTTCCAAGGACAACTTCTGTTTGCACTACAAACTTGTACTGAACTGACATTGCTGTTCTTCACTTATATTAAACTATCAGTTGTTTCAAGTACCTCAATCTCTGCCTTTTTCAGGGGATGGGTGGGGGTGGGGGGTGGGTGGGATACACGGCACTCTGGAGTGGACAGGACCCTCTTCAAAAGTCTTTGAAAAATCAGGGGCCTGTACATTTTTAACACCTAATAAAAGAGGGGCAGGCTGCCAAAACCAGTATGGAGAAAGCATGCAGGAGTTAAATAAGCTACTTGCTTTTTGCACAGCATTCCTAGAAAATCTGAGACAGTACTTATCTTGGGCTCGAGCTCTGAAGATGACACTTCACACAGATTAACCTGTTGTGGAGATGCTCGTTACAGTCAAATCTGAAGGTAGTTTCTAGAAAGGCACCATGTTTCCTGTGCTCCAAAAGACAGAATTTTACCTTCACCTTCAATGCAGCAGAGAAAGACTCCACTATCAGACATGGCAGAATCTGAATCCCAGCCAAATTTACTACAAGTTACCTCCTTATATCATTTATACCTGTGCAAAATAAGGAAGGGAAAATGCTAGTTCTGTAACAAAAATGCGAGATGGGAGCTGCAAGACAAACATTTTAGCCAGTGCAAGAAGCAATGCATTCAGGCAGTAGCTGAATCACATCTCTTACACAAGTTTCAAAAGGAATAGGTGTCTATGCAATGTCCGTAATTAGAACGTAGTTACAGTTTTACTTGCTCCCACTTTCATTAATTTTTAAGTTTAAAAAAAACCAACCCACTACCCAGTCTCACTCCCCTGTGCCCCCATATGGGTGTCTGCTTTAGAAAGATAAAAAGGTAACATGGCTGTCTGCACGGGGTATTGCTCCTTCTCAAACAAACAGCACACATCTCACCAGCAGCACCAACGCACAGGTCCTTTCATGAGTGCGCTTCCACAAGCGGATGACACAAGGCACACCAACATTACAACAAGCGAGTTATACAATGGTGCTTTGTCCGTTTATGGCTTCAATGACATGTACAGTCAAGTCCTGAATACTAATATGAAGGATAATGCTTTTTCTAAAAAAAAAAAAAAAAAAGTGAATTCAATGCCTTACAGACACAGCACTGAAGTCCACTTTACTGTCTCTGCTGCTGACTAGTGCACATTACAGTTCTTTCCCAATGAGAACTACACTAGCTTGCACTATAGCTTCACAAGAAAGCATAAGGGATGTCTTTTTTCCCTTTTATCTCTTGTAACATGCAGACTGCGCATGCTCACAAGCAGCACGCAGTTAATTAATATTCCAAACTGATACTACAATGCAAATATAAAGGCAGTCTGATGGCCAATCTCAGCAGTGGCATCTTTATGACAATGCTGTAAGTCTTAACTGCTTTACAAAGGCTGAAGGCCTACATTTTTATTGTGAGATTTCTGTAATTTCTTAACCAGCTGCAGCCTAAGCCAGACTTTTTAGGGGTCACAGAACCCAACAGCCAACTAACTGCTGAAAAAAGTAAGCTTGAAATGAAATACTAACTGATAGCACCAAAAAACCCAAACCCACAAACACCACAGAATAACTAAGCATCCAAATTAATGGACTAAGCTTGAAGACATGAGTAGATTTATTAGGAAATAAACTTACTTAATATTAAACGTTCAATGACAGAGACAATCAAATTTGTAACAGAAATTCAAAGATACTTTATTTCCATTTCTCGTATATCAAGAAGCTAGGAATAGCTTAGTTGTAAAAATGGGATTCATTTTAGTTCGATTCACACAAATACTAAACATTTATTCTTGTGTTTTAAAGTCCAAGAATGAAAACTTGCAATTAAACACTGAGCAAGCCATGTGTTCAGGTTATGTTTGTTTCTTATCTTAAAAAGTCTTAAAGAAAAAAAGGATACAGGACTTATATTCTCAGTAGCATATGTGCTATTATCAACACATCTTTCTGAACTCTGGGAGGAAACACCAGTCCTGAATTAAATTTTATAAAAAAAAAAATTCTAACTCAACTTTATATTTTTCTACGCCACTACAGCTTTCTTTCACCTCATTTTAAAGCAGATCTTCAGTTTAAGCTGTCTTCCGCTGTCTTCGCAGACTCTTCATGTAGTAGTCCTATAACGCAAAATTTTGGGAAAACAGACAATTAGACAGCATTAAGAGCATTTAGTTTACCATTCCTATATATTGGCCCAGTTGTTAGCTGTCATCTTAACTCTACAAAAATGTCAACATTGAACGTGACTGGCTTTAGAAGCAATAATGTAGCATTAATGGTTTAATAATCGACATTAAGTGTTTAAGAGTTCCTAGCACAAATAATGCAACTACAGTAACAATTTACGTTGCAAGAAGCTCATTTATCAGCTGCACTCTCCATTGTTAGTTCCTTATTTCAGGTATACAATTAAAGACCTTCTGTAAGTAAGAAAGCTATGTCAAGAGTCGGGAAAAAACTTCAAGTTTTCCTTTAATACAGTATATGTATTTCCTATTGTTTAGCTCCTTCATTTCCAACAAACAGTTTTTCAGTATACACTCTTGCCATGAACATTGTAATCATTTGGTGGCATCTGTCTTTATATTTACATTTGCCTTAGAAGTCTGTTATCAGCCATTCCACTTCTCTGTACTATGGATGACTGCAAATTCTCCTACACAGTAGGAAATATTAAACACATACCTCTTAAAGACTTGAATTGCATTGAAAGTAACAAGGCGATTATTATGTAGTGTTTATTGCATTTTAAACTCTTTAAAGATATCTAATTCTGGGCAGCACTGCATCCCTACATACAGTTGAAAGAAAATTCCATTCTGTTAACATCAGATTAACAGTATTCACACAATACACAAAAAGTCCTTTTCACTATCTTGAAAATCAAAAACACAACAGTAAGCTTAAAGATTACAGGCAACAGCATTCAAACATGGATGTGGGTAGAGAAAGGAGTACCTGGCATGAGTACCTGCTTAGTTTGACTGAATCCTTGATTTTTAATTTGGCTTTTCATGGGCCGCTCACAACACCAACGCTGTGTGAGGTATGGTAGTCAGCTGCAATAATTCATAAACCCTACACTTCCATCAATCCAATGCTACTGGCTCTCGAGTTACAGAACAAACTGCATTAGAATGCAAGGCAATAAAGCAAAAAAACTAGAAACATCCTTGACAAAGAAATACTAGCAGTTTATATGAAAACAAAGTAGTCCAACATGTGCCTCAAATATTAAGTATTAAAGCAAAAGTTTCTGCTGATGTACCAACACAATATGGACTTAAATACAAAAACAGTTCAACTTTTTTTAAAAAACGATAACAAAATCCCTAAAAATAAAAAAGGATAATTAATTTTTCTATGGTGGCTATATTACAAATATGTCCCAAAGAGGCACACTAATGGGGGCACGAGTCTGCTACAAAATAGCTGAGACAAAACAATGTACCTCAAAATGTTTTGCAGGACTACACTGTCTTTTCCTTCAGAAGGTGCTTTAGTATGTCTTCTTACTTGGCTTAGTTCCATCTTCATCTGTGCATACTTACGCTGCACTGTTAAACAGTAACAAAAAGCCCTAATCAAAGTTTGAAATAATGCACTTACCTCTGTCTGATCTGAGGTCATATCAGATCAGTTTTAATTGGACTGAGTGTCACCTTCAGATTTAATGTCTTCACTGGTCCCATTGACCTCATTCTTAGTATCACTCTCCTTCGAGTCTGTATTTGTGTCTTCACTCTGTTTTTCTCGACTACTGGACTTCATACTACTTTTTTTATCATCAGATCCCCTCTTTTCTGCCATGAAAGAAGACATTGACCATGGATTTCAAAGTAAAAACAAACATTGCACATGTGAGATATATATTGCATACACAATGGGACAATTACTTTCTATAGCAGTAACAGTAATAACTCAAAAAGTTGCAGAAATAGGCTTCAGACTACCATGCTGGAATGGAGAGGGTACAAAAAAAGGTCAAAGGGGTCAGTACAGGGTGGGGAAAAGAGGAGAAAGGACAGACCTCCTAACAGAGGCAGCTACTCAGCTGTCTCTTGAAATACACAAATTGGGGGTAGAGAGGCAGTCAAGAAGATAGGCAAATGTGTAATTATGGTGCATGGCTTCCTTACTTATCGTGGGACTCTTTTTGTCCCCAAGTTTTAATTTATGATGTGCACGGCCTTCTTTGGTTTACAATTCTCATTAAATATGACTCTTGAAAAGAGAATCAGAAAAGAGTGATGGGACAATGCATCAGTGCATTGTCAAATATATCAATACTTGCAAATTTAAGAAACTAGCCACCCCAAACAATTAAACACTTGGGGAAACAAACAATATTAAGCACTGCTAGCTTTGAAGGTGGGGATCACAGTGACAATCAAAATTAACTTTACTGTACAGTATGTCACAGAAGCTGCACGCTTGTCAGCATTATTAATTGTCAATTTTATAAAAATGGCAGGCAGTTATAATCCACGCATTAAAAAGGCAGTTTGGAAGATATATAAAAAGCACTGTTTTCCAAAGGCAAAAGAACAGCAAGACAGGAAGGACCCCACAATTTCATCACAAATTGGAAAGTTGACTGAAGAGTTTGCTACACTGCTGAAAAACTTATCTTTTCCTCAATATCTTCAAAGAAGGAAGCCAGAAGTAAAAATATTTCCATGGGACGAAAAACATTCAGTATTAGAGCTGCGTGCCTCATTCGTTAACTTCAGTATTTGCAAGTTAATAAAAATATCATTTCTTTCTGTATTATTTCACACCATAATATTCAACCTTTGATCAGTAAAGACACTTTGGAGAGAAAAAAAATAAATCTGAGAAACCAACCTCTCGGATGTCATCATACAGAACAACATTCACGCTCTTTTTCCTGATTATTCCCTGCTATCCGGGCAATTAAAATAATATAAATATATATATATATCCCCAGCACAGGAGCACACAGATCGAACACTCTGAAAAAGCTATTTTAAATAATGTTATCACCTAGACTGGCATAACACACTTTCGTATTCCAGAAGACAAAGTAGAAATTAAGCTTTAAAAGAGAAGCAACATCCCAACTTCTTCGCTTTAAAACAGACCACAAAGGGGAGGGGTAAAGCCCCCACACAGAAATGAGGGCAACTGCCTAATGAACACTGCTACCGAGGTTTCATCTGAAGCAGCACATCCAGTGCACGGTGCTTGCAGAAAGCACGCAGCGATGTCAAAAAGCTAACTGAAGAACTAATAATTTTGTATCTGTCTGCCCTCAGTTTTGCAACTCCGCAGGTAGATTGCACTCTAACTAACCTTGTTAAAAAGTCTTCTTTTTGTGTCTTATAGGTATCTCCGATGCACACGTAGATCCACTGAGGAATAGTAGTCTTGTTTCCCCGCAGAGGACTAGTAGTCAGTCCAATAATCTTATCTTCTGTCCTATGTAGATATGGTAGATCTTAATAGCCCTATGGATGTGCAGTGTGCAGGGTTTTGTTCTGTCTTGTTTGTTTCTTGAATTTGGTCAGGAAGGATAATTTTGTTTAAGGTTAAAAAACTACTATTAAACTGTGGTATGAAAGATGAAACTCTTCTAAAAACTTTAATTATAAAGTAGGTTTACCATAGCAAACCTCCAGTTTGCCAAGCAGAACTGAGAAAGTGTATTCAACAAATAACTGAACTTCTTTCAACTCCTGGGGTATCTGCAAGCAGTTAAGTTCCTCCACTGTATTTTCCATCAGTAAGATTTCTTTCTTTAAAAGCACATACAATTAGTTTGCTGTTGAAACTGTGTATATTATTTCAGCTGTGGTCTATTAGGTATAATCACATAATATTCACTTTGCTTCCTGATTCAACACATGCACATTTTTCTGATTGAGTTCGTGTGGGCAACTAAGATGTATTTTGTGAGAATTCTTACCAAGATAATGTGAATGGTTTTACTGTTCAGAGAACGCAAAAATCAGTCAAACAATATCCAGTATTACTGAGGGTTTGGGTGTTCTGACAGTATTTGCTGAGGTTTATTCACTAACATGAAAACACAATCACAAATATTATTATTTTTATATAAATATAAGAATCCAGATTAAGGAAGGTAAAGAGTCAAGTTAAAGTGGTCTGGAGCCATGTTCCAGTATTAACCCTTCATAAAATGAAGGTACATGCAGAACACATTCTCCTCTTAAAAAAAACCCTATTTATTTCACCTACTCTGAAGTTGAACAGTAGTTGCCTTCTGCTGGTTTACGTTAAGCTAAGGATCAGCTGATGTTTACGGCTGGCAGGATCCTTCCTTTAGCAAGTGTACCACTGTTCCTGAAACTTGAGTCAGAAATTAAGTATCTCCATTTTTACATATACGTTTTTCTTACGATCTTAAAGGTCGCTGTATTCCACAGTATTTTAGTGAACAAGAAGCCAGGACTTCTGAATTTTAAAAGTATGGCACTAATTTAATGGGTAACACTAGGCACAACGTAGGCAACTGTGCCCTGCTTTTTTTCCTGCGGAGATTCATGTTTTTAAAGCAGTTTGAGATTTCAAGATGAAAGGCACTACGATGAGTAGTTATAGCCAGGTCTTTGCTGCTTACTTTTATAATTGCAGATCAATGGTGGATATAAAGACAATTAGATTCTGAAGCCAATATTCCCAATGGAGCAGTAAATGTAATAAGTTCAGTCTTAACTTCCACATTAGCCAGGTAGCCAGCCACACGCTTCAGATATATGAACCTCTAAAGCTACCGACTTCACTAAATACCTACAATGCCACATTGCAAATGTGGTATTGCAATGATATTTACAGCTTCATCATGGAAATTCAATGCTTACTTGTTAAATACTATTAGTTTAGGGTTCCCCCCCCCCCTTTTTTATTAAAGATTTTCCCAACAAAGGGAAAAAACACACTTCTTCAGCATTACAGTCCTGCTCTAAGGCCTATTGGTGTTTCCACAAATGTTGTGATTACACAGTCAAAAAAAGTACTGTTTTCCCAGGTGGAATTTTCATCACAGCTCATAGCATCACCTCACTGTTCTCATTTCTGGAGGAAGAAAGTAGCAAGCAGCAAATAAACGGCCAGCAGGGAAATCAGCAAGTTAAAACTAAAAATACTGAGATGCTGAAGAAAGTTCACTAGCTCCTCTGTTTACAGAAAGATTAAGGATAGAACTGAGAAGCCATTAAGCTCAGAAACAGACCAAATCTGAATAAATAAGAACACAGTTATTTATATGCCTAGATACACACAGAATACTGGATAGGACATTCTTGACTAAGTACCAGAAATCTGTTCATAAAATAGGCAAAAAAAGGCACAGTATCAGGTAGGAATAAAGTAACAAATGGACAGATATAGGCTACAACACTGAATCTGAGTTGAAACACTATGTATGAGTTCCACTGCCAATGAGCAAGCAGCAAAAAACCACTTGCTTATAAAGGGCAAAGCAAAATGAGAGAAGAATCAATACTAAAGATCCACCGTAGTGTAAACCAGAAAAATTAAAACAGTCAAGGGAAGTCAGGCAAGAAAAATACACGAAGCATTACCAACATTTTGAGAACTAATCCACTGAATAAATATGGAAAAGTAAGGGTAGGGCTAACAGGCCTACACAATCCAGAAACATGCACATAGCACCTTTCATTCCAGAGAACCTCAAAAGTACCTTAGAAACATAACCAAATTGTTTCAACCATTACTGACGGTCAGCTCTAATAATGAAGTGGGGTGGCTGTTTCACACTGGACATTAGTCAGCACCCCACCAGAGCCAGTAGTTCAAGCCAGAAGTCAGTACTACGCTCCTCCGGGAATTTCAAACAACTTTTAAAGGGGGAAATTTAGCAATAACAGTGAATTAGTATCTTTTAAAACCTGCAGTGTTCTCTTTGTAGCTCTTTTTAATCCTACTTAAAGGTAAAGCTTCTGAACACCAGCCTTTGATGAAGCAGTAAGTCACCATGAATGCTGTTCTATGTGGCATATACTGTATAGAAGTGTTCCAAGGACTAAAACTGACAGAGCAAATCTCACTTCATTTGGGAAAACAAAACAAAAATTAACAAGGGGTAAGGATGTGGGGAAGAGCAGGAGATTGGTGAGAGGGCATGAAATCGTAATTTAGAGCATTACAGAAATTCTGCAAGATTTATCTTGGACTGTATTCATAGATTAGAAAAAAATTTAAAAGTGCTGTTAAAGGAAAATAAAGGAGACACGACAGCGTACAGAAGTAATAGATTGTACAGGGAAAAACCAGCTAGCAATCTCCCACAAAACACATACCAGCAAAGGGTAATTACAGCAATACTTGCTAACAGTAGGAATAGAAGATACTCAATCTTAATAAAATCTGATTACAGGCTTATGTTTTTCTAAAGGTAAACAGTAAACACGTCTCAAAATACAGAAAAATCCTTGCACGCTTAATTTGTAGACAAAGTGGTAAGCTTTTAATAACTACTGTAAGAGATAAGAGGTGGACACTGGGGTGTACGTATGCATGCACGTGCAGTAACAATAACTGGAACGAACAAAACGCTTCAAATTGGTTAACAGCAGCATACACAGTGTATAAAACCAGATCTGATTTGATGCTAAGAACTTTCAGTCACTCACTGAACGACTAAGAACTTTTGAGACTTTAGGGGAAAATTAGTTTCAGAACTTGATATGAACTCAGTCTTCACACAAACATACCTTTTTCTTTTGACTTCCTGTCTTGTTCTCTCTCTCTGCTTTTGCTTCTGTGCTTGTAGGATTTCCGATCCCGGCTTTTTGATCGCCTCCTGTCCCTACTACGAGACCTATGTTTTCTTTCTGATCTATCATGACTTCTGCTTCTTCTTCGATCACGACTCCTTAACATGAGAGAAAATTTCAAAAAGTAAACGTTAGCTAGTATTTTCTCACTCAGAAGATAGAAAGTGTTTCTGGTTTACTGTTGTAATACATTGATTTTTTGCAGAAAACAAGTATTTAAAATAAGCCTTAGCATACTGTATATAAGTATTTCTTAGGAAAAAAGACCTGGCTTCATATTGCCTTCTTTGTTTACTCAAACATTCAACCATACAGCTTAAAAATATCCACTACTAAGAATTAAAGACCAACTTAATTAAGGAAAAAACAAAACAAGACCCTGTTCTTTGGGAACATTTGTCTACTCAAAGCTCCCTCATGATACCACTTCCACCACAATGCGGTCATCAATTTCCAAAAATGGAGATAAGACAGTGAACACGCAGCAACACTTGCTTAGCCTTAGAACCAGTAAAGTATGTCTTCACCTGGAGATAGGAACAGTGAAGCTAACAAATCAGTTACGTAACCCAAGCTGACAGATCAAGTCCCAACAAGATTTTTTACATTTTGGAAAGCTGCATGAAAATACTTACACACACACACGCACATACCTGCTTCGCCTTCTTTCTCTGCTTCTTGATCTTTTGTGGTCTCGTGAACGGCTGCATCTTCTGTCAGATGTTCTGCTTGAATGTCTACTCCGTGAACGACTCCTTTTACGCCTCTCTCTATCACGAGCCCTCTCTTTTTCCTTTTCTTCTTCTTCACGTCGTCTCTTCCTTTCCCGCTCTTCTCTTTCCCGTTCCCTCTCTTTCTCTCTCTCTTCCCGTTCTTGTTTCTCTTTTTTTAACCTGTCATCACGGTCAGGTTCTTCTGTTCTTTTTCGTAACTTTTCCTTAAAAAAAAGTTCACAGAAAGAAATGAAGATTACAACAGAGGCTACACAACAATTCTTTACAAAGGCCACAAAAAATTCCCACCTGAATTTACATCTTTGCTTATATCTAGTGTAATCACATACGACGAAGAATGTCAGTGCAAGCACAATGCTAAATGTGCAGTAGGATTCCATTTAATTTTGATATGCCATCTTTGCAGTATTTCACCAACTTGAGAAAGTCCACTGGACAGCCTTTTGTTTACTATAGGAAGCCTCCAAGCAATTTTTTACATTCAATAACCGAAGAGATGCTTACTTTTAAGTCTTCTACAGTAGCTTTTATTTTGGCATAACCCATGTGCTGCTTTCCCATCAAGTGGTCATCTACCCTGGACTGTGCATCTCCCACAATTAAAAAGGCTCCGCAAACTTCACAAACTTCCATTTGCTTTTCTTGGGCCGCAAAGCTCTCAATTGTCTGCAAAAGAAAAATATTTGATAAAGCAAAAGAAAAGTTTTAGCCAAAAGCCAGTGAAGAGGTTTAGAACTTTATTGTTACTGTTGTCAAATCCTAGGCGCTAGTGAAAGCTGAAAATCATAACTGCATGCTTTGTCCTCAGAGCACTGCACCTACTGGGATGAACAGAGCAAAAATAGGCTACATATGCCCGCTCCACGTAAGCCACATGGAAAGAATCAATTGCAAAACCCACAAAACAGACCTTATTCCTTACTGCAAAGGATTAATATGTATATAGTCGTATCTGCATTATCCTTGCAACCTCGGGATTAAGCAAAATAAAAGTCAGTTTTCTCTTAAGATGACTTCTTTGGCATCAACTGGAGCTGCATAATAACCATGCAATATGTCTCCCATTAAGAAATACAAAAATGAATGCTGAGCTTCTATTTAAAAGAATGGTGGTGAAATGCATCCACTGTTTCAACAGACATATGAGACATACACTAGAATTTCAACATAAAATCAAGCGATTATTGCTGTGCAATGTTCATGAATCATATAATATGGAGGCAAACACTATTGCTTGCAATATTTAAGAACATTTGAAAAATGAAACAGGAATCACAATTTGAGTGTATTGTTAAACACCAATATATAACGTTTAAGCACAAGCTCCTTTTTGTTGACAGGAACTTACTACTGATCTCTTAATCTTTGCATTCTGTAGCTCTCCAAGTCAGACAGAAGCCTGTCTCTAGCCACAGCCCTAACACAAAGGCTTTTTGTAACAGTCAAATTGGTAATTCAGTGAAATAATATTGCGCAGGCTACACAGCAAAGTTTAACCGACACCTGAACTACAGTAAGATGCAGCAGGACTGCTGTGCACATAATGTCATAATTTGAGTGCCTGAAACCCGTTCTCAGGTTAGCATGCTGAATCAACACACTGGATTAACACATTAAATGTCATGTTATTGCCTAGTAAATTCTGCACAGAACTTGCATCCCTTAAGTGTAAGGACAAGGTTATTAAGAACGTACTATTGCACCAAATTTTGAATTAAGTCTGACAGAACTACAAATACATTACTTACTGAAGTTGTAGACCTCAGCAATTCCCTCTCTTCCTTTAACTGTTCAACAAGCTTCATCATTCCTTGTGCCTCTTCCACCTTGCCTTCTGAACCTAATTCTTCAATCTAAAGGAGAATAAAAAAAGTTCAACTATAATTTTTAATCAAGTAACAAAAGCAAGAGATCTCTGTTACAGGGGATAAAAATTACTCACTTGTTGTAGAAGTACATCAATTTTGTCAGTTAACACCTGAATCTTCTCTTCATTTTTACCAGTAGGTCCCGCTCCCTGCCAAACAGTACAAGTGTATCTTTTTTTATTTAGTTAAAATAGCTTTAAAACACGCGAATGTATGTCTTGTCATATTCCAGAGACACTTCAGGAATAACATCCTCCCTGCCTCTTCTCCCATGAGGACCTACTAATAATAGTATAGTCTAACATAAAACACTCCTCAACGCAGCTTACTCCACTTCTCGCTCTATGAAGCAAGTTCTAGTTACACTAATTCCTCCTAAATCAACAAAAACGTTCAAGGCCCTGCCCATAAAAGGTAAGACATCTGAATTCAAAGTCCTAAATTTAAACCCTGAAGCTGCCAAGCGGCTATTACGCATCCTTGCAGACACTCAAGTACGACTCAGAATTTCTGTGGGCTCTGAAATTTAACTTCTGAGCATAAATGCAAGAAGAATCTCACTTCATCCAAAATGTACTTGCTGGTGTAAGTCCTCTCTGTAAGCTGCCAGAATACACTTACACCTGCTTCCCCCCCAACCTTTGCTCTACTCCACAGCCAATAAACTCTCTTGACTGAAGATACTGTCTACAGCTCCTTCTGCAGCAACTGGACTTTGCACAGAACAATTACTTGGGGGAGGAAAAAGGAGCAAGCAGTCCCCTTAGCAGTCAGGGAACTCTCAGAGCACAGGCCACAGTCACTGCTCCAAATCAAGTGGCAGACAAAAAAAAGTGAGTGCAGTAAACACATGAAATTTTTGTCCCAGTCAGTTTAAGCTTTTAATTAACAGCTGTCTAGTATGCAGCTTGGAACTGAGAAAAGTTGTACAGAAGTGTTTCTCAGATTTTCGTGATTCCATCATTGTCTGCCAATGGCGGTGCTGGAGCAGAAAGAGGCTACTGCCTAAGTGTGGCATCTGACAAGGGGGTTTCGCTCCATCAGCTGCTGAACGACCCAGTAATTGCCTACTTCAGTAACATCACCATGCTATAGCTTCCCAGCAGAAGGAAGGAGGAATATGAAACTTGGGGAGAGCAGGTAAACTCTACCCTGTTAACAGGGTAAAGCTGACACTTGACAGGATTAATGTTCCAGGGCAGAGAACAGATACTGATTCTGAGAAAACAGAGATGAGAAGCACAGAGAGGGACTCTTGCTGACTGTGGAGCTGCTTGGCTTGTCCATTAGGGCTAGATGCAATCTGCTGGGTAACAGATGAAAAGACTTATCTAATAGGAATCTTCTGGAAAACAATGTATTTTACTCGAAGAGACAAGGTAAAGAGAATATGAAGACGCTATCTAGAGGAAAAACTGTCTCAATGATTCTTCCAGACTCACCCCAGAAGACTGTTGATTCTGTGACAGTGCCAAACGAGCATGGCCTCTTCGAATCCTGCGTTCTACCTCTGCAAGTAAGCTTTGTAAATAGCGTAGGAAGTCTCTTTCATAGCCCACTTTCATAAAACGAGAGCTCTTCTCGTACCTGGTAAAATATTTTTAAAATGAAAGCTCCTATCACCCCATAATATATGAAATAACAAAATAACAAGTAACAAAACCTGCAATGTTATAAATTCTTGCTCAAAGTAGAGAATATTATACATTTAAATAAATGCTTACATAAATCAAAAAGCAGCTAGTTTCTTGCGGTTGGGTTACTTTTAAAAAATTTCAAGCATGCTAGTAACACTATCTGCATTAACATATCAACCAACATACTTACTGTTTACGTAGATTTTCATCATGAATTTTTTCACAAGGACCTAAAAAGACCACACAAAATGTTTAAGCTTGCATTCTTGAAAGCTGTATTCACACTCCATCAGCATTTGTTTGTGCACCGTGATAGAACAGAACTATAAACACTTCCCAGGGACTTTTATGCCTGCCTTTCTGCTTCCCTTGCTTGGAGTTTGAAAGACACATTAAAGAAGAAGAATGCCAACATGGTTTAGTAATTATAAAACCAAAGGAGATTCTGGATGACATATAAAGTCTTCATATAAAACAGACTTTCCAGATCAAGTTCTATATCAGTAAAACTGCACAAACAAAATAATACCTTAAACATCTGGGGTCTTAAAAAAAAAAAAAAAAAAAAAGTAAAATGACATATAAAGGGTAATTTCACCAAGCAGCACCTCCTAAGCTCCAGTGTTCTTTGTAATAAAAAACCAGCTACTTAAAATGTTGATCTTCATAGTAAAATTAGGGGGTATGTAGCCTGAGTTCATGAAGGCAGTCAAGTTAAAATTCCACACCTTCCCCAGCCTATCAAACTCTTCAATGGAATTCAAAATTAATGCTAAAACAAGAAGCCTGTTTTTCCTAGTTACCGTCTCCAAACTACATGTTGTCCGCACACCATTGCTTGAAAGCTACTAATAACATGGAGACGGCCTTCAGTAACAACTATTACAGTAAATGAGTCTCTAAAGTGAAGAAGCTCAAAAATATATACTCACACAAAAGTAAGTTAAAACCCTGCCCAGGTAGAATAAACCAAACTAGAAGCCAACACTTCAGGAGGAGAAAACCACCCCATACCCAATAATCTAGTTTACACTGTAAGAAAAACAAATAAAAAATAAAGAATGAAGTCTTTTCACTTGGAGGAAGTGGGATCAGGAATAAACATTGCTCTTAATATATCACTAGCAATCCTTAAAAAAAGAAAAAAGAATTTTCAGAGGGTTCTGACAGAGCATTAAACAATAAAAATGTAGTTTGAAAACAAAAGTTCAATTGTAATTACATGTAAGTGAATAAAAATGAAAATACTTATAGACTTACCTAAATCAGAACGGGTATTGGTAAATAATTCAGCTGGGCAAAAGCCACAAAGGTAGTATTTACAAACCTGACAGAGGAAAAGAAAGAAACAGGCATCATTTTTTTCCTTATGAATGGGCATATTTAGGTAATCACTTCCATTTTCTAAAATACAGCGTAAAAATCCGCTTTGTACACTGCAAAATTTCTGAAACACACGCATACACCCTCCATCTTTGTGTTACTCAGTAGCAGCAAGTGCTACAAGGTGCATCTTTAGACAAAACACCAAAAATCTTACTTTCCATTCCAATAATGCTATTTCTTACTTTTACTGGTAAATATTGAAGATTACAGGAAAGTGTGACCTATTTGTAAATATAATATATTATTTGATACTTCTGAAGGAATTAAATCAGACTGGACTGTGAAAAAAGTTTCTGTGAAATTCCTTAACTGTGAAAACCTACAGGGAAATAACGTTTTCCATGGAAGCATAAAAGCAAGTTCCTCTTCAGCTTGTCCGTAACGACTTTGTGCGCAATCTCCATTTCTTCCATGCTTGGAGAACAGGAGCCATCAGCATTCAAACACAAGGCACTGCCTCAAGGATTCTGATGTCAATTAAAAGACTTAAGAACACACATGATAACTATCTAAAAGCTTCCCCATTCCAATGCTTTTAAAAACCCCTACTTTAAGAATGACGTGGGGATACTTCTTAAGGCAGACATAGAAGACACTCATTTTAACCTGGTTTCCTGCCAATTAAAAAATGGTTTCTTTTGTTTCTACATAGCCTATTTTTACATTAGCAAGTCAGGTTCTTTTTGATAACAGAAAAATACCACCAGGAAGTTAGAAAAAAAAAACCCAGCTTGTTAGTCTAGCCAGTAAATACTTAACACATGAGGGGATAAACCCAGCTTTTGTTAAAAAGATTATTCACCCTCACCCATGAGCATGGGCTTAGCTAGTCAAGTTGGTCGGTTCTTTAAGTTCGTACTCAGACAGGTGATATCACCTGTCTATTAGAACAGGCAAAAAGATAAAATCAGAAATACTTTCACCCCTAACTTCATAAGTAACCTTAAATAATTGGTTCTTCAATAGACCCTTCCCCCTGGATGTGACTGCCATCGTCAATCCAAAACTAGCCTGGACATTCTTCTAACATCTCTTATGTTACACCCGTTCCTAATATTTGGCAAATCTAGTAATTGCCACTGTGAATTACAACCTAGTTCTAACACTCTCATATAAACTGTGGGCAAAGATTTGCGACACATTATTTCCTAAGATACATTTTGAAGTATTTTAACAAATGGGGGTCAGGAGGAGAGAGACCCAAAACCTACCCCACACCCCAACACCTTTGTGACACTAGTTGATCAAATTAGATCAGTCTGATTTATTTTACCCTGCTGTAACTATTAAGACTTCAAATCAGACTACAGAAGTTAAAGCTAGACTGACTGCCTTACAAATTACACAGAAAAACAATCAAGCTTTCTACTAACAAGCCACGGACGTGAAAAACAAAACAAAAATATTTTTTTTATATAATTTGAATACTTCTCCCACGATCCAGGTTAGAACACTGTGGCACCTATCTGAAGCAATTTATCAATAATACTTAAGAAAACACCGTACAAAATCACAAATTTTTTTCTTCTCAGGAAGCAAGGGAAAGTTACTGGACAAAATCTGGTTTCAGAATCTGCTATCTTCTCTGAAAGCCACAATGTCCCTTGTTTTAATATCAAGTTGTTTCACGGGAGCAGTTTCTGGGATGAACTCCTGTACCAGTCAATAGAAATACAATTTCTCCCTACGTTCTCTTTTCTCCTGCGTTTTCTCATCCTCACATCCAAGTAATGGGGTCAGTGAACAAGCACTTCCCCCAAAAAATTTCAGGGATGGATGAGACAATTCCCTAAGACATAGAGAGCACAATAGTAATGGTCTGACTGTATTATACTGTAAAAAGAGAGTTGTACATCATCTTCTATGAGCCAAACAATTCTGCAAACTGGTGTGTAACAATTTTGAAAGCAACAAAAGGAGCAATGGAAAAGTAACAAGAGGCAGAAGTACAATGAACAAAACAAAACAAACAAGCAAACAAACAAACAAAACCAACACCAGAAATAATTATTTTATCACACAATCATAAAATGGTTTGGGTTGGAGGGGACCTTAAAGATCATCACGTTCCAACCCCCCTGCCATGGGCAGGGACACATTCTACCAGACCAGGTTGCTCTAAGTCCCATCCAGCCTGGCCTTAAACACTTCCAGGAATGGAGCTTCCACAGCTTCAAGAAGCAGCACTGCTCGGAAGCCTCCTCTTATGAGCTGATGGTTACAGCCAAAAAATGTAGTGACCAATAATAAAATATGCAGCTTACACACATGCCACACATTCTATTAACTATTTATATAGTAAAAACGCCAACAACAACAACGAAACACTGAAAAGCTGCATTAACTTTCTCCTAACCAGCTTTGGCTGCTATGGTACCTAGTGAATTCCTTGACATTCTCTCTTAAGAGGCAGCCTGCAGAGGAATACTTGCATTAGAGTGGTTCAGACTAGTGTGTCTGCAGCAATTTTCTCACTCTCTCATACCTATTTCATTATGCTCTTCCAATGGATTTTGCTTCAACAGAAAAGCATTACTTGAGAGAATCCTGCAGCTATCTTGAAAGTTATCATTCTGGCTTAGCATCACCATGTAGTACATCTGCCTTGACAGGCTGTAGATGCCAGTCAGTTGCACTTACAGTTGGTCTTAAGTAATCAATGATGAGTAAGAATAGAAAGGGCCAAGAAATGGCTGAAGCACCACAGAGCCATTAAAGGACTGAAACAGAGGTGATACGCTTCAAATGGCATTACTCATCCATGGCTTATCAGAGTGCTGCACTTAGCACAAGTCAGAAGTAATATGGAAATACATTCCATAATTGTAGAAACAGAGCAACAGAAAGTTTAGTATGGATATTTACCTATACAGGTAACAAGCACTTACTCTTTTTTCCCAAATTATTGTAATGACATTGCTGCCAAGAAGCTTGACAGTAGCATTCCTCTCTGTTCTAACTACTGCAGCAGAAATAGCCACTGCTTGTGTCTCAAAGCCCTTAGGGTCTCACGTTTTGGTAAGACACTAGGACAAATACAGATAACTTGGAACTTGCCACTTCTTCATCCCAAATTCACTAATCCTTGAAGTCTTAGAGGTGGGAAAGTTGTATCCTTCACTTCAAAGTTGACTAAGCTGACAACAAGAATGGCTAGTTCTTCCACAGTCTGTGAACCAATTCAAAGCTTTCCTATATAAAGAAGCTATTGACAGCTCTGTATCATTAATACTTCTACACCAACATGTTCTTTTTCTGCAAGGAATTATTTACTGATGGAGAAGTATCAGTATAACTGTAATAAAGAATTATGTAAGCCAATTCCTTTAGGCAGACAATTCCTAGTAAAAAGGCTGAGAATAAAGTCCAGCAGGTTGTGGCTTATACACTAAAAACTACAAAATTCCTTCATATAGATGAGCTCTTTGAAACCATTAAAGTTCATACACATCAGACATGTTATAAGCAATGTCCATCCACCCAAAACCAAATATAAGCCCTTCTCCCAAACCCCTCTGACAAGTAACCTGCCATTACTAATATTCTTCCAAAACAAGTAACATATAAGTCCTCACACCCTGGAGGATTGTGAGATTCTACCTAGATGCAAAACAATTTAGGTCTTTGTTATTAAAAAAACTAAAAGTGTAACACATCATAAATAGCTAATACCATCAAATCATATTTTAAAGGCAGAACCTACATTCTGAGAAACAGCATTCCTGTGAGAGGTAATTGCTCTGTCATTTGTCCCTCTCAGCTCCCCACTTTCTGAAAACGCTGAATTTACCTTGAAGGAACCATGGCAATCTCAAAGCCTTATATGAAGCATGGGTAGACAATGCTGGGGTTTCTTGTGCTACAGAACAGCCTCCAAACTCTTACGCAATCACTGTTGCCACATGAACTTGGTTTTGTATAGGTGGCATATTAAAGCAAGAACGCATGAATCAATAGTTACTGTTCCAGAAATACACTTTGTTGACGGATATGACAGTAAACAGAAAGACTAAAATATATGATACTAATAATTTCCTCCTGCATACAAACCAGAAAGCCTTTATGCCAAAACCAGAATTGATCATCTAAGGACACGCTGCAATACTGAAATATAAAGCAACTGCGATTTCCATTTTTTAAGATTAAAGGCTTTAATCACGTAAAGTTTTAAAGTAAGAACTTGAGCTCTACAAAAGGCTTTACAATAAATGATCAACATGTTTCATTAGAACCGCAAACAGATGATCAGCTATCACACACTCTGCTTCTGCACCTTCAAAACAATCTACTCCTATCTTGTATTTCATTGCATCTTCCATATAGTTTTCGATAGTGACCTAGGGACAATTTACAAATTATACAGAAAATAGAGCTGAGCTTGTTTTGATAACCTTCCATATCTAAAACTGATGATACGTGACACAAAATCCTAAACTTTGGTATGAGTGCAACATGCTTAAATTCAAAAGGTTACATGCTGATCCGTGTCTAATTTTACAAGAGATAACATTAGCACATGCATTTCATCTTAAAAGCAAACCAGCAGTCAAGTAGATGAATTAATGTTATTATTTGAACCTTATCTGCATTTCCTGTCTTTTAAAACATGTCAGCACTGCAAATTTAATCTTTCAGTGATGCAGGAAGTCAAACCGAAACACATTTTATGTTTTAACAGTGGTATATTTTTATTAACGTGTCCACTGACTATAGGAATCTATGAAAACATTCCTTTCAGTCAGGAAGCATTTAATAATGGCCCTATAAACTTCATAAATAAAAGCAGGAGCAGAGCAAACAGCAGCAGTTCCTGCAAGACCGAAAGGCTCAACCCTAAGCCTGTAAATTTCCCACCGGCCTCAGACACAGGACAGATCTCCACTTTCTAAATTGTCAAAGGAGAACTGGGAAGAGGAGACAAGGCCCCATTTCTGAAACAACAAAACTGAACAACAGCATAGAGATAGATTTCTATGGTTATAGTCAGTATCTTCAGCCTAAAATTGAAAAATGTGCTCATATGAAGACGAAGAAAGTCATCTGAACTTGACTGAAGGCAGGGGGGATCTTTCTCACCAAACCAAAACAATCCCTGTACCTATTTTACCTGGACGAACACAGCTCAAGCCACTGACTTCATATTTCCGAAGCTGAACAACTTCTTATTTTGAGTTCAGAATCAAAAGAAAATATGTAACTGAACACCCAATTGAATAACAATATTTGTTTAATAAAAAAAGTCTACGAAGACATTAAGAAGGTCACAACAACTTCCTGGACTCACAATTTCCTCCTGACATGCACAGCTCATCTATATAGCGGTATTTTTCAGGCGGGGGGGAAGTTCACTTGCACAGTCTAAGGCAAGACAAGTATTTGTCCTTATCTCATGCATTCTGAGACAAATTAAAACATGTACTAGCCATCTTTAAAATGACATAACTCTTGTTTGAAAGCATGAAATTCCCGCCTCTGTGATTCAGATGCAATTTAGAACAGCCAAAAGCAAGCATTTCTCCCTCCTCCCAATATAACAACATCCCAAGAAAATGCTAAGGGCAGGGAAGACCTAAATGCTTTTCACAGGTTAAACCACAGAAATCCCTGTCACACATGTAATAAATAAACTATTGTAACTGTGACACTTTCTTTTAACATATACCATAACTCAAAAAATATACCATGAACAAGGAAAAAAAGAAAAACATTTCAGCAGTGTTCACCTCTCCCAAAGAAAGAGCTTTAGGAACTTTCTAACTACCGTTGATTTTTTGGTGGATAACTACGATTATTTATATATGGCTATGATGGACGTCACTAGAAGTCATCGTTCATTAAAGCTGAACCATACCTGAGGAGAAATCCCACTCAAAAATAATAGTAGTAATAATAATAAAATATAAAATCTTGTTTGAAGTATTTATTACAGAAAATTAAGGAATCACCACGTTAACAAAAAAATGCATAAGTACTACTAAACAATAGTACTGTTTCGATTAGCCCTCCCCCCGGAACTGTGGATCTCCTTTGCCTGAGAAAGTACAGAAGAAATCTAGCTTTTCTTAGCAAAATCCTCGGTTTCAAAAGTTTTATGGTTCTTGCTTGTGCTACAACCTCCAGATAGCCAAGTCGGAGTGTCTGTACCCTCCTGTTTCCTTCCCCGATACCGCACTCAGGAAGAGATCCAGAGACACTCGTCTTCCAAACTAACAACTGCCTCACCTCCCTTCGTGAGGGCCAACAGGCTTCTACTCAGAAAAGCAGAATTCCACAATCCCCGCGCCCCCCCCCGCCCCGAGATCTCAGCCACCACCAGGCCCCTCGGAAACCCCTATTCCCGTTCACCGCGGCAAACACGCCACGGCGCACACAGCCTCTCCCCCCTCGCTCCGAAGCCCAAACACAAGGCCTCTCCCCTCCCAGCAGCCCAAACAACGGCGCAAACCCCCTCGCACAGCCTTGCTATGGCGGGACCCTCCTCCCTCCCGGCCATTCGGTTCCTCCTCCTCGTCTTGAGGCTCAGCGAGGTTCCCGCGCAACGGCCCGGGCCTAGCCCGCCCCGCGGCCGCCATGCAGGAGCCCC